AGCCCCGCTGTCCATCCCCCCCTCCCCGGGGCGCCCGCGCCACCCGCTTGGTAATGCCCTGCAAAAGGGGCCGGCTGCAGCGGCATCTTCCTCCTCTCCTCTTCCTCACTGCCTCGTCTGGCTTGTGTTAGAAATAGTGGGACCAGCAGGAGTAGGGAGGTGATTGTCCCCCTGTTCTCAGCACTGGGGAGGCCACACCTGGAGTGTCATGTCCAGTTTTGGGCACCTCAATCCGAGAGAGATCTCGAGGCGCTGGAGCGGGTGCAGAGGAGGGCAACGAAGCTGGGGAAGGGAGAATAAATCTTACAAAGAGCGATTGAGGGAGCTGGGACTGTTCAGTTTGAGGAAGAGGAGGCTGAGGGGAGACCTCATCACTCTCTACAGTTACTTGAAAGGACATTGTAGAGAGGTCGGTGCTGGTCTCTTCTCACAAGCAATTAGCAGTAGAACAAGAAGGAATGGATTCAAGCTGCAATGGGGTAGGTTTAGACTGGATGTTAGGAAGAAATTCTTCATAGAAAGAGTGGTCAGAGGCTGGAATACGCTGCCCAGGCAGGGGGTTGAGTCACTGTCCTTGGATGAGTTTAAGAGTCGTTTAGATGTGGTGTTGGGGGATATGGTGTAGGGGAGACCTTCGTAGAGCAGGGTAGATGATGGACTCGATGATCCCACAGGTCTTTTCCAACTGGAATGATTCTATGATCCATCCTATGATCTCTCCCTCTAGGGTCCCTGTAGGGCACAGGGGGCTCGGTTGGGTTTCTCTCTCTCTGCAGGATGGCTGCTCCCTTTGCCTCTGCTCTTTGCTGACTGTGGGGGTCTCCTCTCTCTCTCCTTCGCCCTGTGGGGTGTCACACCCCCTCCCCAGCCCCACGCTGACCCTCTCCTCTCCCTCTTTTCCTCCCACCAGTGCCACTTCTTCCAGCGGACCCGTTACTACCGGATCATGCCCAAGTACCACGCCGTCAGGATCCGGCAGGAGCAGCGCTACCAGCCCGGCGGCCTCCTGCCCCGCCGCCGCAAGAAACACTGGGTGACCAAGTGGCAGGAGCCAGAAAAGTACTACTGACCCCCCCACCCCCGACCCGGCCCCCCAGTGCCAAGGGAGCACCAGGGCCGGTGTGTTGACTTTGCACAAGCGCATCCCTCTCCCTTCCCTTGGGATGCGGCCGCATCCCGGCGCTGGCTTCTGCCCTGCTCCTCTCTGGGCTCACACCCTAGGCTCTTGCACGCTCGTGCCTTGCACGCTCAGGGGGGATGAGTCCCCAGCTGTGTTGTCGTGTGTCCCCCCCCTCGCTCCACACCCCCTGACGTGATCGCTGCTGGTCTCAGAGTGCCTTCTCCCCCCGCCGCCCTGCGCAGACACTCCTCCCGCCGTGTCCCGCACACCTCCTTGCACGCCGGGACACGTCCTTGCACACTAGGACACATCCTGGCACGCCGGGACACGTCGTTGCATGCTGGGACACGTCCTCACATGCTAGGACATGCTCACACCCCTTCTCCCTGCCATGCAAACCCCTTCTCTCAGCACTGGGTACGTGCTACGGTGGGGATGGGGGCAGTGGGAGCACATTTCTGCCTGCCTCCTCCTCCCCAAAGTGGTGCAGGGGCCTGATCCTGTATGTTCACACACACACACCCCCAGTCTGCATCGGATGCAGATTTGGCTGGGGGTGTTGTGTAGAGCATAAGGCTGTGCCCCCCACCCCCTCCCACCCCACAGCTTCATCTCCCAGGGGTCTGTGTCCCCCCCCAACAGACGCTGCCCCAGGGGGTTAAGTTATTCCATGTCTCTCCTCGGCGTTTTGGTGTTGAGCCCCAGAGCGCGGTCGGTACTGGGGGCTGGGGGGGGGAATATTCCACACACACCCCCAGCCCCTCTCACCCCTTCTCCCCCCTCCCTTAATCCCCCTTATTGGGGCCCAATAAAGCCTCGCTCCGGGATTTGTAACCTCTTGTCTCCTCCATCTCCTGGCCAACAGCGTCATGGAGGGTGCAGGCTTGGTGGGGTGGGGTTGGTTTTTTTAAGGGAGCGGGGATGTACCCATGGCAGAAAGGGGTACTGGGGGGGGGATAATACCCCAGGTGCACAGGGTTACTGGGGGGAGAAATGTCCCATGTGGGCAGGAATACTGGGGGAAAATACCCCAGAGGTGTGGGGGGGTGATCCCGGGGCTGGCGAGGGCTCAGCCGGCCCCCCCCCGCTCCAGGAAGGGGTTTGGGGGCGCCGCGGGCTGCAAAGGGTTAAGCGCGGCGGCTTCGCTGCGGGCTCGAAAGGGTTACAGCGGGTGGGCGTGGTCAGCGCCGAGGGGGCGGCTTCTCTCCACCCCGCCCTCCGGGGGGTGGAGTTTAAGGCGAGGGGCGTTGATCATCGCGGGGAAGGGGCGTGGCCGGCGGCAGAGCGGGCGCTGATTGGCTGCGCGGCGAGTTGTTTGTGCGCGGCGGCGGCGG